ATATCCAATTGACTTCAGAGTTTAACAACGACTTCCTCATGAGATAAATAAAAATGAAAAGTTTCAAAAAGGAAGAAAAACGGTATTAAAAGGCAAGAACTACCAGATCGAAAACAGGTTAACTGCAATACCCCCACCTCTCCACATAATACTGTCACATTTCTATAACATCCCCGGTAACAATCATCAAACGCATTATTAACTATTACATATCCGACCATTTTAATAGGTCGTTTTCTGTCGAAAAATATTAAACTGAATAAAAAAAAGCAATATATATATGGTTTACGGCAAAATATAATAGAAAGAACAGGAAGAGAAAATAAGATTAGGAAATTTTCTATCCATCGGTTTTTTACTAAAAATCAGTTTCTCGCACTAATAATCATCGTCTAACAAAGTGAGGCAACAAACCTTTCTGAGAAGTCCGTCGATAAAAAGGAAAAAAAAAAACAGAAAAAAATAAATAAATATGGGAATTCAGGAAAAAAACTATTTTTCTTCTTTTATATAATATGCTGGTTAATACTGTGTGCATATGAGTGGATAAAAACATCATTTTGAACTACATGCTCAATATGATTTTGTTATAATTATTGCTGTTGTTGCTGTAACTGCTAATGTTGTAGTTTTTGCTTTCTAAATATATATGGCCTAAGATAGTTGTTTTATAAAACTTGTTACAATAGTCTTAGACGATGTGGTTATTTATGTGAGTGTGTAAAAAGCCTCATCTTTAAAATCCCCGAACCATATTTCTTCTTTTCTGTTTTTAATTGACATTTGAACAGCAGCACCAGCAACAGAATAAGAACATTGGCGTTTTGTTCAACTGCGGTTTGCCGCAACTGTAAATGCAGAATACCAACAAACTGAAGAAGAGGAATCACGCCAACGATTGCTATTGGTGATGGTAATGTTGCTGTTACTAATGCTGCCCTAACGCTTCTCTTACTGTTGAACCGTACACTGAAGGAAAGCATCAGAACAATCCAGATGTTTTCAACGACCATTAATTTATCTGATACTAACACCAAAAGCAATTCTTCATTCTTTAACCCTATTTCTCTCTCTTATCAATGAAAAAAAATTTTTTTTTTTTGTAAACTATAGCTGTATAGCAAAAAATAAAAGCTTCAAAAAGCAAACAGTATAGCGACTAACCACCGAATGTCAATAGCACCACTACCGTTTTTTAAGTGGGCTATACAATAATACAGAAGAGCGAAAACACAAAATAAAAGTGAAACAGGCAAAACTACACGAGAAAAAGTAATAATAACAATAACAATAACAACAACAGCAACAATAATAAATACTGATATGTTGAATGTATTATAAAAAAAAAATAAATAAAAACATATATAAACAACTCCGAATTTGCTATTGATATCAAAGTAAAGATAAAATTTTGCTTTAATTTTATGCATCAAATCAGTGGACAACCGAAGGCAAGTATTAAAGACGAAATAAAAAGGAAAAGCAGGAAGATCACTATCGCTAACAGCACTACGACAACAAGGAATGCAAAATGAAGAAGAAAAAGAAGAAGAAAAAGAAGAAGAAGAAGAAGAGGAAGAAGAAGAAGAAGAAGAAGGAGAAGGAGAAGAAGAAGAAGAAGAAGGAGAAGGAGAAGAAGAAGAATAAGGATAGCAGCAAACGCCAGTATCAATAGCAAAAGTTTGCTGTTGAATTTGCAGCAGTGCAATAGTTTAAATCGGCCTATGTGCATTAGTGTCTGTGTGTACAGATATGTGTATATCCGTTTCTGTAATTATTTACGTGTAAATATTTAAATACACAAATTATATCCATTTTGTGCTCATCATAAATAAAGCTATATAGTGCTAGTTTTGTTTTTAAACAAAAAAAAAAAAAAAAAAAAAAAAAAAAAA